ATAATTATAATACTATATAATTATTAATTTAAAATTGTATATATATTTCGTTTTTTAATGTTAAGAATCCAGTGTTATATTTAAAATTCTCCTTTAGAATCCACCGATCAATGTCCGGCAAACCTTTTCGTGCCGCGGAGCGTGATACCGCTTTTTTCTTCGTATTTCTGCGACACGTGTATCAGAATAGACGTCATCGCGCCCCGAGTTAGCTGGAGCATGATGCACCCTCCTGACGCTTCCTCTTTGGAATTCCCGCCGACACAACGATGGAAATATAACAATTGCAGGTGTCGTCTGGGGATTTAAATCCGTTCGACGAGTTCTATATGACAATTCTGGCGCGGGCGATATTGCGTTGTTCGATCCGCGCGGTATTCGGAATGCGATCCCTTCCCTGAGAGATAACGCCTCTTTCATTCTAATCTCGAGATTTTCTCGGTATTCTATAATCTATATTATTTTATCAACGATTGTGTATGTGTGTGTTTATCGATATCGTCATCATCAACCGCAGCAAATCGACGCGATTCTGCAGCTTTGAATTCAGAATGCATTTTAGTACCCAGGAAATTCTGTAATCTTCGGCATTTGCGGTGACTTTTTAATATCGAATATCAAATATCTCGATAAGAGAAAAGCCTCGTATCTCGCGAACGAGATATCATTTTAGTTCAAAAGCGACTTTTAATAAAACTTCATCGTCAGTTATAATTATAAAGAAATGTAATGTCAAAGATTTCCCTTTGATCTTTCCTACGTCATAAGCTTGCATGTAACACGTACAAAGAGAAATAGGAAGAAATGAATTAATCGGGATTAGCGGGGTAATCGACGTCGGTGCAATCGGGCATTAATCTACTGCGAAAATTCCGTTCTACGATTCTTGTTAAATCTCTTTATTTTGTCGGCGCGCTAAATCGTGTTTTTTTTTTCTCGTCCTCCGCGAAATTATTCGCCGATCGATCCGGCGTCTCTATAACGGCATCGGCGTCATTAATGTTATTATGTAATAAGGGCCCCGTCTGGACTGTCGTGTCCAAGAGAATTGTCATTTATATCCCGCGAGTGACAGATGCGCGCGGAAAAACGTGATTATCCGAGTCGCGAAGATGCGGGCGGCTTCTCTTACGTATTAATCTTACACGCGTAACGTCAAGCGCAAAAATATTACGCGTCGCGCATACCATTTGTTTTTATTCGCAATTATTAATTACAATCTATTGTGGTTGGAAAAGTTCGTGGCGTGTAATGTTGGATTATTAAAGGCTCTCCAGGGAACCTCATGCATCTTATCGCGGCGATATATAGCGGGGCTCGTTAAATCGCACGCAGACTATCAAATTGCATACTAATTTCCATCTATATGTATAATAACGGGAGGACATATAGTAGAGAGTGCATCTCTGTCTCTGTCTCTCTCTCTCTCTCTTTTCTGTAGTAAAAGTCTCTCTACTGATATTAGGCGATAATTCAATATTGGATTAAATGTAATGATTCTACTTCTATAAACTTGGAGCAATAGCTCATATTTATTGGCAGTTCGAAACACATCTACAATCCCTAAAGATCCCGCGCGACAAATCCAATTCCGATAATCGAAGACTCGAAGGACAGAGAAAAATCTGTTACCGACCCTCTCGACCTCGTCTTGAGAAAAATCAGTCGACATCCTTAAAGATGCTGCCGGTATCCTGTTTCAAATACAGATACATAAAGACACAGTTTCTTTTTATGCGGCCATTAAGTGCTTCCACTCGACGTGTAATACGAACCACCTGCATTTTGTCTCGAATCTAATGGCGGGAACGCCCACGACAAGATTGTACAGAAAAGGACACGATCGGTCAGAAAGAAGTAATATTTCGTAGAAACGAGAGCGATCACTGATCGATGCGAAACTACTTTCGTTGCGCAGCTTTCCGAAAAAATATATATCAAACATTTTAAAAAAGAATAACAATTTTTGTTATTTTTATATTATATAGAAAAACAGCAAAAGTCAACTTTTTCGATCTTTTTAGGAAAGGCAAAATAAATTTGACTATCGGTATAAAAATAATTTACGTCAGAGAGAGGGAAAGAAAGAGAGAGAAGGGAAAGTATACAAAATTATGATATTAATATATTAATAAATTTCAAAATATTATTAATTATTTTAAAATATTGTTAATGTATTGTTAATTATCTCACAGATATGAGTTTGACCTAAGCCCTTTTCATTCAAGATCAAGCAATAAACATGCGCCCACCCGATGCGATGCATCTCGTCATCAATAAGTAAGCAAGTTATATGAATAAATCGATATCGCGGGGAACTGGAACAGCCGATATCATTTTGCACTTGGCTTGGCGATAAGGAGAAGGGTAAATGTCCTCTATCTGAACCTACGACATTTCCTGCCGCCGTTCCCAGGCCGCGGAAACGCAATTGCTTGTTCTACTGCTGAGATATCGATATACATGTAAGATTGATGTGACCGCAACCCCGACAATCGAAAAATGTCAAGGATATCCGTTGCACAATTCTTATACATCTATTCGGTAATAATAAAAATAAAAAAAAAAAAGACGTGTGTGTCTCTGTGTATTAACATATAAACTAATTTTTAAATCACGATTTAAATTAAGATACTTGAAAAAATCGTAAAGAATATCTCAGAGGAAAAGAATTCTTGAAGTAAAGAAACACCGATAATTATTCTTAAAAGTCTTATCGAATCAAAAAGATTTATCCGAGACATTATAATAAATTGATCAAAAAACCAATCTGCTTACAACGTAATGTCCTTAAAGGATTAACTCGTCGTCGGTCCATTCCTGTCGTAACTACGTACAATGCCCACAAATGCTTTTTCTACTTTATTGTACAAAGAGACCCTGTATTCTCGAATATAAGTAGGATTTCGTATTTCTTTTGAGGTATCAAAAGAAAAAACTTGAAAGAAAATTCCTCTCTTGCAAAACTTTCTCCCTCTAAAGTACCGTATATAAACTCCACACATCGTCATTCCTATATCAAACTTCTCTATTTGAGTTACTCTTCGCCGATATACTCGCGTATTACTTCGTCGAGCCAGCAGTCTCAACTATTCGCGCGTGCAACTATAAAGTTTCTTAGATTCATATCTCCGACTCGTATTACACAGCTTATAACGTCCGTTTTAATTTTTCTCTCACCGGAATTTGTGTGAATTATAGCCGAGTTATTCGCACAATGTATGCTTATATTGACTGAATAAAAAGTGCGAATACGAAGCTAATAATTGTCGTATAAATTCGACAAAACAAATTCTCTCGATAAAACATGTCAATGCAAATGTAATAACGGTTTTTCGCTGTCTATATATATTTGCAATTACTTGTTTACTTGATAAAATGCCGGCATTGTTAAACGCGGTAATAGAGCGTTTTTCACACTCGATTACAGTTTACTCAAGCTAATTATGTCTCATATAAATAACAAATATTGATATTCTATTCGATGCAATCTCATATCCGTAAACCATCGTATAATCAATATTCATCAAATTCTTATTTACACAAGTTTCGCGCAATCCTTGCAACAAATATAATTTCGAGTTTAATAAGTAAATTAAAAAAAAAACAGTTTTCTCTCTCTCGCTATGACTTATGTCTTTAATAAAAGTTCTGATAAAATCAAACTTGTTCTAAAAAATTAGAAGCAATTTTTATATACTAAAGAGGATTCCGAAGAAGAAATTAAAATGATCAGAATGTTTTATAATTATCAAGATACTTAATCAGTATTAATACTAGTATTTTGTACTATGCAATCAAAATTGCCACAGCCTATTATTAAAATTAACATACAATTGCGGCAGATATCCAAGCCAGATTTCGTCGGCCGATCTCGCAGTCGATTACGATCGAGTTTAATAGTTGCGAAAATTTTGCATCCAGCTCAAATTTCAACTCGAAATCAAACTTCTAAATTAACACACGCATCAATTACATATGCTAATTACAGATTCTTCATCTAACGTATTTAATGGGTTTGGAAATTGCTAGCAAGTAAGCGCGACAGACCGAACGATATCTGCCAATGTGTCTGCCAATTACTATGTTTTTCTACTGCGAACAGTGTAAACTCGGCTGAATTGTAAGAGGACAAAAATATTCTTCATCTGGTTATATATATATATATATATATTCATTCCGCAGTTTTTTCATCTTAAAATCTTTACAAATTTGGGTTAATTTGTAATTCAAATTTAAATGAATCACATGTGTGTACATAGAAAATGAGAAGACTCATACATGTTTTATTTCATTCCTTTACATTTTTTTGTATGTGAAGAATTCGAAATTATATAATGCCTACATAATAAGCCTCTTTCAAAGCAATGATCATGTGTTCTAATCATGTGTTAGTAAAATTAAGAAATGTACTAAAAGTGGAATGATCAATTTGATTTTTGAGAGGCTCATATAATAATCATGAAACTGCTGCAAGACGAACTTCAACAGTACATTTTATTTCCATGCAACCGGATCAGAAGATTTTTCTCCTCTCAAGAAATCGGCAACTCTTATAACTGCACTTTTCCTATTCTGATATAATAAAATATTGAACATATCAAAAAAAGAAAAAAGGAAAGAAACCGCGCGGAGAGAGTGCAGCCGAAAAGAAAAGGATGCACTGTGCGTGCTCTAGAATTCTAGAGTGCACTCACGTGGTTCTCCGGTGAGATGGATGGGAGCTACGATTCGATCGCGACGAAGCCGGCCGTTCAGCCGGATCGCCCCGCGGGGAACTGTTGGTGAGGCCACAGATGCGAGACGTGCTGCCGCTCTCTCCCTCTCTCTCTCTCTCTCTCTCTCTCTCTTGTCTCTCAATCAGATTAGTAGCGCACCGCCGGCGACGTTCGGCGTCGCGCGCCGCAACCTCGCCTCGTGCAGAGCATCGTACCCTATTTCCGCGTGCGAGTTTATCGGCGGTCGCCGCTGATTTGGGACGTTGAAATCCTCCTCTTCCTCCACGTCGGAGCTCCTCGTTCTCGTCGCCGTCGCGCAACAATGCGTGTTGACAGCGCGCGAACCCGCGGATGATCCTAGCCGACCGCAAAGTGACGGTCCTCGTTATTTCTCGCCGCGGGAAAGAATCGCTCTTGCCTTAGAAGCGACCGCAGCATAACGAATACGGGATTCGCGCCACTGGCTGCTGTTACTGCTGCCTCCTGCTCTGTTACGATGCGCGCTGGTCGACGTTCCCTCTCCGACTGAGCGGATTTAACCGAGTTGAGTTGACAGCTACGCGTCGCGGTGGGGCGCTGCCGTCATCGTCGTTCGGTGGGCGCGTTTCCATGGCGCCGCGCGATACTCATGACCGACTCGCAAAGACGTCGGTCAAGCGATTCGCGCTCTTATCGATACTCGTTAACGATAAGCGTAAGTAATTAATCGTTTACTATGGAATCGTTTTTATTTGAATGTAACGTGGATGGAGAGCCGATCGGTTAATACCACGATAATATCGATGCGTGTGTTTTATCATTTTCGAATTATAAGAGATTTCTTTTGCCCAGCATTATTTACCTTTCAAAAGGTACATCATCAGTCCGTAAATAGCGCTGACTTCGGATGACGCCGGGAGGATTGTGTACATGACATGTCGCCTCTCCGGAAAGTCTTCGAAAAATTCAATAGTACAAGTGAGATGTATTGTTGTACCAGTGATAATACCAGTGACAACAAACGACGATGGGAACTGTCGGAATTTGTTTTTTATGTATTCTACGGAAATAAATAAGAGATCCGTAACATACGCTAGCCGTGATTATTCGACGAGCGACGATATCGTGCAGGATCTAATAATTTTTGCGTGACACGCTCGTTTCTTGCCAATTTCGTCGATCAAGGTTGCTGCTGTATACCTATCTCGATATGGAAGAGGATAGGAAGCAAAGTTTTCTTTCTTCTTTTACATGGCTCCTACGAAAAGATTAATCATACTTTTTGCATATTCCTCTACAGGAAAATTAACAAAGCGTCGATCATTATACTTTTGAAACCTATCCACTATCTCTCTTGTAAATGGCAAATTGCTAATGTTTTGACAGTCAAAACTTTTTGACTGTAGCGAGGAAGAATTTGATGCAAGGATAAGAACAATACTAATATATAGAATATGAGCTCGCATCACCACTTGAATTCGTCGTCCGGTGAAATAGATCACGTTCACTTCGTTTCCGAGGATATCGGAGCTTTGTATCTTTCCGAGGAATATTCGGATGTGACGTTAGTGGTGGCAGGTCACAAATTTTATAGCCACAAACTCATTCTTGCCGCGCGTAGCGAGTATTTTCGGGCACTACTGTTTGGCGGTATGAAGGAATCTATGCAAAATGAAATAGAAGTGAATGCCTCCTCGTTGCCTGCATTTAAAAATTTGCTCAAGTATATATACACCGGGCGTATGTCTCTCGCTAACGAACGCGACGAGGTACTGTTCTTACAAATTATTATTAAAGGATATACATCTAGAATTGTCTATTCTCATCATTTCGATTTACCTTGTTACAGACAATACTCGATATTCTCGCATTAGCACATTTGTATGGATTTGTGGATCTTGAAGCTGCTATATCCGATTATCTCAGAGAAATATTAAACATAAAGAATATATGTTCAATTCTGGATACTGCACTTTTGTATCAGTTAAAATTTCTAACTAATGTTAGTATTATTTATTTTTATTCTGTAATTATCCTATGTAACATAAGATTTGTACATACGATTAATATCTATAATATTATACTTATATGATAATTAATATACAATTTAATATCAGGTTTGTTTAGAATACATGGATAAACATGCATCTGAAATTCTTCAGCATGAGAGTTTTCTACAATTGAGCCCAACAGCTTTAAGTGAATTAATCTCCAGGGATTCATTCTATGCACCAGAGTTAGACATTTTTTTAGCTGTAGATTCGTGGGTCAAAACCAATCCCGAAGTTAATAACAGGGAAGTTATAGGTAATTTCTATATAGAAATATTAATATTTCTCGTGTGTTAAATGATAAATTTGTTTATCACTTATATGAAATGTATTTTGCATATGATTAACTTTTTATTTGCAGCTCAATTAAGATTGAGTCTGATTTCAAAAGTAGACCTTGTGACTGTCGTAAGAAAAGCCACATTCATGACAGACACAGATATTGTAAACGCGGTTTACGTGCAGTTACTAGGAAAACAATCAGAACTACCCTACCGCGGACGTTTGCTCATCGACGAAAACGTTGCTCATCCTATGCATGGTGCCCAAGTGTTACAAGGCGAAATGCGTAGCTATCTACTTAATGGAGATACTAAAAACTATGACATGGAACGTGGTTACACAAGGCATACCATAACCGATACACAAGAACACGGGATTTTAATAAAATTGGGGACACAATATATCATAAATCATGTTAAAATGTTATTATGGGATCGAGATATGCGCTCCTATTCTTTTTTCATAGAGGTATGGATATTTTACACAGCAGAATAATGCAAAATAAATATAACATACATTATTAATATATGTATATATATATATATACATATGTGTATATATATATATATATATACATATATGTATATATATATATATACATATACATAGTCTCAACACAGGGATTCTTTCTTCTGTTACTTTATCATTATTTGTTAAAGGGATCTGTGGATCAAAATGAATGGGTCAAGCTTGTCGATTATACAGAGTATTTTTGTCGCAGTTGGCAATATTTATATTTTCCACCAAGAGTAGTTCTTTATATTCGTATTGTAGGAACAAATAATACAGTTAATAAAGTAAGTTTGTTGAGAATTAAATAGCATAGAAATGTCTTTCTCGTTTGTTTAAAATTTATTATAATTATTTGTGTGATCGTGTTTAATGGAACTCACTTTGCTTATTCTTTGGCATTAATACAAAATTTAGTAACCTTTATCCTCTATATCTCTATTATAATAGTTTGATATTTATAAAACTGTTTGTTATTTTATTCAATAGGTTTTTCATGTTGTCCATTTTGAAGCACATTATACAAATCATACAGAGCAACTTTCCAAAGGTTTTATTGTACCAACACAAAATATTGCTGTTACAGAAAAAAGTGCATCTGTCATTGAAGGTGTAAGCAGGTATGTAAAATCTTTCTTTCCGTACTTGAAAAAATTCGCACGTATCTATATGTATTTATTTTTAAACTTTATTTCTCTTTTAACTAGGGTACGTAATAATTTACTGAATGGAGACACAACTAATTATGATTGGGATAGTGGTTATACATGTCATCAACTTGGTTCTGGATCTATTCTAGTGCAATTAGGCCAACCATATATGATCGATTCTATGCGGTATGATTCTTGAATACTTTCTAAAACATGCTTATTGATACTCTATTATGTATTAAAGTATAACATAAGTGTATCAAAATATTTCTGTAAATAATAAAGTATAATAAGTATATTAAAGTATTTAAATATTTTTGCACAGATTTCTACTTTGGGATTGCGATAATCGCTCTTATTCATATACTGTGGAAGTATCGGGCAATTCCTGGAGCTGGGTAATGGTCGCTGATAAAAGAAAGGAATTGTGTCGGTCTTGGCAAATAATACACTTTTATCCACCCCGTCCAGTAGTTTTTATACGTATAGTGGGGACTCACAATACTGCAAACGAGGTTTCTATAGATTAATCAAATTCGACATGATTTTTCTGTATAAAATATACATTTAACAAATAATTATTTTAAACGTTTTCAGGTATTTCATTGTGTTCACTTTGAATGCCCAGCGCAATTTGATGATAAATCTCCGAAATCACCAACACAACGAGGGCATTCGTCAACATCGTCAAACGGTAACAATCCCTTACCTCCTCCACCTCCCGAAGTAGCTACGGAAGCAGTTCATATCGATAGCGATGAATAACTAAAGTAAAGAGTAAATAATATAATAGCGAAAAACACGCAAATAACTCTATTGATGATTCTGATGATAGTTGCCGCTCTTGTTCTTTGAGCTAGAATTTGGATTCGTCAAATGACCTCGATACAACTTCTAAGACTGTTCAATAATAATTGAATATCAGATCATAATTAATCATCTTGTTTCTCGTTTAAAAATTCTATTTCTGTTTTTTCTTATCATCACTCTTCGATGACTCTCTTTAGGTGTAAATAATACACGCGCGGCAGCTGCCAATTTCATAATTACAAAGGTATACAAATTAGTCATATTTTATACAAATACTCGATAAAATTGTGTAACGTTATGATAGATTTTTTATTTGATTCTTATGTAAAATTTTATTTTTTTACGGAAAAATGGTTGTAATATTTGAAAGTGTATTATTATTACATGTATTGTTATTACTTGTATTGTTATTATTACATGTATTGTTTAATATTACATGTGATTTCATGTTTTTTTGAATAGTTGTTTTAATTATTAATTAATGTAAAATTTGCAAACTATGCTGTAGAATCATGTTCCTTATTATATATAATCATTTTTCCTTATCCAAATTCTTGATTTTAATTATAAAGGTGTGTAAATATAATTGAATATATTATAATACTACACTCTCATATATATATAATATTTATCTGCCAATTCTTATACAATATAAGGTGCTACAATTAATTTTTCCACACAAATTTATATCTATTATATATAATAATTTAACTTATTCTTTTAGTGTGTAATATATAATATTTATTGAATATATTAATTTATTAAATTATTTACTACATGCTGAAATCACAGAAGACTGTTATATCAATTGAATATATGTATGAATATATATAATCGATTACACTATTTAAATAAACTTGTAAATTTAATATCTTCTAAATTGTGATTGAAAGTAAAGAGTAAAGTTAAAGAGACTTGTCCTACTCTCAAAGGACGAATGAATACTAGATGTGATTGAAAATTGGCAACTGCCACACAAATTGTTGTGTATAGAAAACATTATGTACTTGAATTTTATGTTACCGAATATTTTTTATAAGCACGCGATTACCTATAATGTCGACACTGTTAATATATGATGGTGTCTGGTTTTTCAGTATTTCTCATTGAATGAGAATCTTTTTGGTAGATATTTTTATTGTGTATTTAATCTATTTAATCTTGTGTACATATAATGTAAAACATTATTTTTCTAGTCTACATATGTTTAATGTAATATGTCTCAAGAGAATTCGAATGTATAATAAATTATATGCAAAGTTTAATTGCTACAAGATTAATAAAATATTCTGGTATTTAAAAAAAAAACCTGTTCATTAAACATTATTCCAATAATCGTTCTGTTGAAATGCATTATCTATTCGATAACCACATTTATATTTTTTTTATCTTACGTTGACACGAGAATAAAAATATGCATCTTTTAATACTCTCTGGAAATTAGAGTTAGAAGTTAATCCTGAATCTGAATTCACACCTTATTTTTTTTCTCTCTCTCTCTCTCTCTCTCTCTCTCTCAATTTGATGTACTTCTTACCGAAATATGTTTCCCTGACTGACGGTTTTTTCCCAACTCTTATTACATGCAGAATGTTCAAAAAACTATTTTCGTTTTACTTTTCTCTTCAAAGATCAATATATATATCCGAAACAAACAGATATTTATTTTCTTTTTTATCATTTATCATTCTTTTAAATAATTATTTAATAGCAATGTTATATTTTGTGATTAGGATAGGATGACGAATAATGTAACGTCATTATTTATCATCACTATTATTACATATGCTCAAGTATGTTAAACATATAACAATTGTCAATACAAATCATACTTAAGCTATATTCTTATTTACAATAGATTAAAACTATTTTAAAATTCAAAATATGTAGAGATGATACATAGATTAGTATTTAAACAAAGTTTAAGATAAATTTTAATATAAGAGTAGATTCTGCATAAATAGAGAGTATCAATATCAATTAGATGACGAGTAATGTACAAAGTTTACGTCAATACAGAGCATCACATTTGCTATAGATGACTGTCCACAGCGCGATAATTCGTACTTACGAAAGTGCGCGTATAGGAGAGAAAATAAATGATTGAGCATAATTTTCATACTGTCTCTTATCTCTTACGGTCATTAGATCCACTGCGGCGAGAACGAGATCGACGGCTGTGGCTACCACTGCGAGAACGTTTTGATCTATAATAAAGCACATCAAAAATGTTTTGTTTTTTATAAGAAATAAAATATTTTCTGTTATATTCAATATGTTTAGATTAAATGAAGACAATTTTCTCAAATTCTCTCCATAAATTTGAACACTCTCTTCACTCTTTCTTAGCTTCAGATTTAAAATAATTTATTTTTTATTATTTGCTGCGACCCTTATATTTATCTATTTTTTGTATAAATATATTTTCGTATTATTTTTTTTTTATTTATCATGAAATATGTTTGTGTCCGATAGCTTTGTATTTTTTAAATATATATATATATATATATTTCTCTTGTCCCTGTCTCTGCGCTCCCGATCGCGATCGCGATCGCGGTCGCGATCACGATCACGGTCACGGTCGCGCTCACGGTCGCGCTCACGCTCGCGGTCTCTGTAGCCCAATCCTCCGCGGTTCCGATCCCTATCACGATCCTTGTCACGATCCTCCCTGTCTCTGTCCCGTCTCCTGTCGAGCATGGACTCACGCTTTTCCTTACGCCTCTCCTCGACGGTCTTCTGAAGTTCCGCGAGCTTTTCGCGGATCTTGATGAAGCCGAGATGCAACTTTCCGCCGAAATGATCCGCCAGTCGTCTATCGTTGTCGTGTATGCCAAGATAGGCGCTGCACACCTCGCACACTCTTAGCTTTTGCTGCTGGTAACTTGATGCCGGCATGCTGTTTCGATACTCTTGTTCTGCCTCGTTCTTCTTCTTACGCAACTCGTCGATCTCGCCCATCAGCTTCATCGACTCCTCGACAAAACCTTCCTCGCCTAGCTGTTCGGCCTTGGCTAGTTTCTTACCAATTTCCTCGGCGAGTACATGGACATTGTTCGCCTTCGCTGCCACTTCCGCGCTCAGCTCCTCCTGCGTCTCCGCCAACCGCTGCTTGGCCTGTTCCGTACGGCGATCGCAGTCAGCGATAAAATTTTGAAGATGTTCCATTGCCTAGAAAAAATTTAAGAAAGACGCATTGAAATCTCAGTCACAACTACACGAATAAAAATTTTGATTGTCACTGCATGCAATGTATTGCACGCGATCATTATGTTTGATTATAAAAAAACGCTGTCAGAGATATGATACATGATAATAGATTCAATATTATACAAAATTGTATGGAGCAATATGGAATCATATTCAGTATTAAAACAAAACTATGTAAAATGATTACTTTTCTGTATTTAAAAAAAATAAAAAAAGTAATTTATAATTCTGATTGTGTGCAAAATACACACAATCAAATACACTTACATCAATGTCGTAAAAGTGATCCTTCTTCTTTTGCGCCGCCTCGTAGTCAGCCCGTAGGGCCAAGTCGTGAATCTGGGGGCATTCTCCCAGGTCCATGCGCTACGATTTACACAAATCAATCTGTATTAGATTACGTTTCTTTCGATCACGTATGCGGGTCTTATCGATTCTATGCGTATTATACGAGAGTTTAGACCCCTTTCTTCCCAAGTTTGTTTTAACGAGTATACTTGACAAGAATATATATATATATAACGTACTTGGTCGCGGTACCGCGACTGGAAATTAGCATGAATCGATAATCTAGGAGAGAGACAGAGATGATACATGACAAAAATTCTGAGAGCTTATATCGCCTGTATCCTTAGGATAAGACGGTCCCAATAGGCTTTTATTTGTTTCTCTCATTTTACGTGAACTCACGGAGAGACGTCAGTTCGTCTTCCTGCACGAGCTAGGATAGAATGTACAATAATGAAGCGATCCGATCGTCATTCGATCGCATATTATAAAGTAGGAAATGCAGTTTTTGTTTTACAGATAAATAGTTTGTTGTTTTCACTTACAGGGTGGCAACAGTTCTCCGCCTGACACGAGAATGCGACGGCAATGAAGCTATAATCAGCACACATCCTTTAAGTTTTATAATGTTCACTTTTTTTTCTACGAAAGAGAACTTACAGCCTATAATGGTTTAATATACTATTTTACGTACGGCACACGAGAATCGTGTCTTACGTCTTATTGGCTGCTAAACGAATTTTTAGAATAGAAACTGATTCAATACGTACACATCCAATGGTTGTAGGAAATTTTTCTAATGGATCTGGCACTTGTTGTACTAATCTCCACCTAATCTCTCTGCGTCATGCTACCTCTCGCATTTTCTCTTGCCGACACGTTTGGGTGTTGCAAATTGCCAAAGCTAAATATCGCGAAACGATCCCCGAAGACTGTTTTTTTAATTCGATGAGAGTTTACGTTTTATTTACACACATCGCGCGATCCATAATTAAAAAAAAAATCTACATCTCATTTAAAAATCTATATAAATATTTAATTTTTAATATTTCGCTACTTTTAAGCGACGTAAGATTTAAACAATGTAAACAAGTGAAAAAATGTTCGTTACGAGTTGATTTGCGAGAACGGACATACATACTTATTTCTTTTTTATATCTTTGCAACGTGAAATCGCGAGATAAGAATATCTTTATTTTTATTTCTGATGCAAAAAGAAACTCGCGCGAAAAGAAATTAATAGCAACCGAACGCGAGAGGGTTCTTGGCAATTCGCAAATCTTACTTACAGATATCACTGCTTCATTTCCTGCACCCATTACTTCCACAGGATGATATATTTTTTTCTCACACACATTCTCAAAGTAAACTTCTCTTATTCCTACCTGCCGTAAACGGCATTATTAGTAAGAAGCGACATTAAGACATCGTCTCATGAATCAGCATGACGCTACTCACCGACTCAGTGTTTACAGGCCTTTTCGGGGGTCTGGGAATTTATCATTCGGCATTACTCAGCCTCACCACCGTGTGGAAAAATCGGTAGAGGGGCTGAAGTAAAGCCCGCCCGCCTTTACGTCTCATATATCGAATTAATATATAGATATATATATATATAGATATAGATATATAGATATGCATATATGTGTGTATGTATATCTAGTATTTGAATTATGGTAAAAAGGTAATCAAATTGTAGATGTAATACGTACGTCTTTTCAGTTTTCAGTACTTACAGTAACGCGCGTGTGAGAGTGACAAGTACAACACGGACATATGAGCGGACAATACTCGCAACAATATTGTACAATGGATCTGATTGGAATTGCTTTTTCCAGAGACTCTGGAAATAGAACTGTAGTTACGTTGACATTAGTGGATCTGCATATCAGTACACCTCTCGTTCGAGCGATTTGCCGTTAGTATTTTTCATCTTTTTTTTTCATTTTTGCTTTTACTCTTTCTCTCTAATATCTCGTTTTTCATTTTAATGTTTTTCGTTATGGAAACTCTATCGCGAGACCTTCAGGGATGTTTGCTATCTTTCACTGTTATTTGTTTACTTCCTAACTTTCACGTTCTAAGAGCGTTAAATCTTTTAATAAGTTTTGCTACGTGTCAAAAAGAAGAAAGAATAATTGCATCGACTGTTTTAAATTCGCAAGTTTAATATTTTATATTTTATCCGAAATCTGAGTCCCTGAATTTGTATCGATGGAGATTGAAAATGGAACCATCTTCCTTATTCAGGCTATGCACTTTAATATTTATGTAAGATCCAATTAAAAAATTTTATCTTGACTGAAAAGATAAATGCAAGATACGTATACTTTGAAACAGACTTTGTAATTGATAGAAATATAAAAGATATCCTTCGCTCCCTGAAAGAAAAAAAATGTACTAATTAGGGATGATAAATCTGTGACTAAATAAATTATCGACTTTAAATTTTGTTATTTTCGTAGCAAAGAATCGTTCCGTAAACTTAATATGTATCTTCTAAAATCCTTCGACATCAATCAATGTCAACGACAGGCGACAGGCCTTCGAAACCTACATAAGTGCAGATACTTATGTAAATTCCGATATCTGCAGATGGCATTCAGAATAATTAATTGATTAAAGATTAAAAAGCAATTCCCTTAGAGCAAGTGCTGGCACATTTCCCGAGTAAGAAACTTTCCTACATAAGTAGCTGTCTGAAAAGAGAGAAAGGTGAGACAAAACTCTTTTTTCTATGTCCGTCCTATAGTCCGTACAGACTATAACAAGCGTAGAACAGCTTGAGATAGACGGCGGAGATTTGTATATATATCGGAGCATCGATTTCGTTATAAAATTTGAAATACAAGAAATGAAAGTAGTCTAGACAGCTACATATAGGAGAATTCCAGAGAAAGAGAGAGATAGCGAACACCCCCGTGACCAATTCGCACAAGATGACACTGAAATGCGCGAAGCAGTATTTAGAGCATGTTACAGCTCGCATATAATTAAAATATATTGTCATTTGATCAAAAGTGTTGCTCGATCGACCGCATATATGCACAATATTACGCGATTACATCTGCATCTATAAAAGTCACAGTTGTCTGTGGCTTCTTCCCCGATTGCGCTGCGAATGGCGGGTTGCAATATCCTTATACAGTACATATATGTTAGATATATATGTGGAGATTCAACACGCGTTCCTGAAACTAGAACAGGCAAGACAATAATCTTGGCAGCTTGGAAGAGATATGGGACAGGCTTTCCGTACGTACGGTATTTTGTTATCCTTGCTCTAGCTACTTCCAAGCCGCATCGAATACATTGACTGTTCTAGGCCCAATGATCTCGTACGTGTGTAATAGTATGATAAAAACGCCTGCCCCGTGTTGCACTTCGACGGTATCCAGTGTGAATTGATCGTAATCAATTCCTGAGGTACGTGTCGATTATATTAAATAAAATAAAACGTTTTTCTTTTAGGGCGCGCTTATTAAATAATTTCGCTTATTAAATTCTATAAAGGATGTTCTTACAAGCTATAGATTCTTAACTTACGGTACTAAACACACACACCAATTGGCACCGAGATGAAAAGTAAAAGCGCTAGAGAATAATCGAAAGTCCGACGAATCTATCTCATGTACGGATCTATCCATTCGACTACTCTAAGATTTATATAGTACCAAAAAATTTGACTTTCAAGTTTTTTACTAGGATACATGGCGTTTTAATAATATACACAAATATGTTTTGTCGAGTAAGAAATTATATAAATGGCTATATGGCTATATATTCTTCAGTTTCTATGAAATGGCTAATCATTCTACGAATTTTCTACTTAATTTTAAATTAAGATACACTTCTGTATAATGTAAAAATATATCATATATATTGTGTTATGAGCATGTGTGTGATGTGAGGCTAAACAAGTCAGTGTGCATCAGAGTTTATGATTGTGGTAGCAAAGTGATATATGAAGAGAGAGAAATATAGACGTTACATTTTATTATTAATTTAGTCATTAAACTGATGCCGTCAAAAAGCAGACTTTATCACAATTAACTCCATCAGCAGCAAAAAGCATATTTTCCAAAAGAATTTAGATGTGAATTAGAGAGATAATGTAACATACTAATGAGTATATTTTAAAGATTACAATTCAATTAAAATATGCAGACACAATTGCTGTGAAGTTGCTGTACATTAAATTTAATATAATGCTTTATTTAAAACTAAAACATTGAGAAAAATTATTTTACTTATTTTACTTTTTATATTGTAATATATAAAATCATCTGCTCACACATTGCATATTAATTGTTTTGCATTTGGACAATATATAAAATTTATTTGCATTGGTGCCCATAGATTTTTTTATGTCTATTATACTTTGTTAAGTATCTATATAAGAAAATAATCAAATCATTCACAATAATCATTTGCACATACTACTATTACACATACTGTAAGAGAATTAGTATGGTTACACGACTCCATATACTGCACTCAATGCTAGTTTTATTGATTATAATATCTGCTGATATAGCATAAATATTAAAAAGTTGTAATCAAAGATTATACAAAAATATCAAATCTTGAAGTAATTTCCTTATGCTTCATATTTATATCGCTGCATAATAATTTTGTCATTAATAATACTGCATCAATACAGAAGAATAACAGATTGAGCAATAAATCGTGTAACCAAGTGAGAGTTTGCAAAATAATAAAATAAATCTAAAAAAAGAATAAAATTAATTATAAACTTTATATACTTTCTGTTCTCTTTAATACTGCAATAAAAGATATCAGAAATAAAATCATATATATGTACTTATATACAGAGTGCATTATCCTGCGCACAGTGCCAATGGTGTGTCATTCGTGTTTGAAATCATTGCATCAAGAGATGATATACTCACCGTCGAAGATAGGATTTCATGGGGACAGCAGGCCAGCAAAAAACTCTTGCAGACCTTCGAGTCGGAGTATTTCACTTGAAATTTGTTATTCTCACCTAGAAACATAATCCAGATCATTAATGACATTTCAATAGCAGATATATATATATACATATACACAGGATAGCGCTATTACAACAAATATGGCCGCATTTGACCATCTTGCAATTATCAATTAAATTCGCGCGAAGATCTCCGCCATTCCGCCATCTCCGAAATAAATAACGTGTGGACTAGAATATGTACCATTTCGTCCGGTGCCCATTAACTGGTCGAGCATAGCTCGCATTTGATCGTGCGCCGTCATTTTTCCGAATGTGGCACAATCTCTCTGAAGAATACACGCACCATCAGAGCGCAACCGAATACGTTCCACAACCACACCGTCCGATGTCCGATGTCCTATAGAGAATTCGAGACTTCGTCGAGTAATCGCTACGTCACGGGTTTATCGACTGTAGTGTCACTGCAAGGCGCGTTTCGATAAAAGCCGACGACGTGATTGGTCGTTGAATAGGAACTTTTGGGTAATTTAATTCATTTCTGGGGACTGCAAAACTTCCTATTAAGCAACCAATACGATCACGCGACATGGATAGTGAAATAACCGCGAACTATCAATCTTCTGATTGGTCATTGAGCAGGGAATGACGTCATATATGTTTCGTCGATCTTTCGAATAGAACGTCCGCCATTTTGTCGGTAGAGAAGCAGCCAGGAAATTTTTAATTGTCATAAATATATTACGAAATCGAGATTGCGATATATTCTATAAGACTCTTGTAAGTTTTGCCTCGTTTACAATAAGTTCAAATTTTTATTTTTCTGACACATAAAACGTTTAAAATAAAAATTTATTTTCAGAAAACACAAGACGCATTTTTTATACAGAGATATTTATGTATGCCAAATTAATTGTCAAAATTATAAAAATTAAATGAATTTATAAGTCTCTTAAGATCTTGATAATATTATCGATGAAGAAGGGGAGAGAGAGAGAAAGAGAGAGAATAGGAGGATTTATGCCGACAAAGTTCCAACGGTATTTAAACCAGGGGGTGCTCGGTGGCTTCCACTCGCTAGAGTGCAATGACCGGCGGCCTCGAGAGACTTTAGATCTATCAAATTATATATATATCCATGTACAATATTCCTGTAAGTTCAAATTTAACCACATTTCTATAACCATCGTCAGCATAATATTATGAAAAATGCAAATTTTTCTTCAAATTGTAAACAAAAATTTCCGCATAATAATTATTACACACACAACCATATATAAAGACAAGGGTTGAAAGTATTATGAAACTCTTCCTCCATATCTTCTTTCCATTTAATATTTTTTAATGAGACTAATTAAAATAATTTAATATATGATCTTAATAATTGAGTATATTTCTGTTATTTTTTATAACAGGCGAGTCTTAATAGCAGACAACCGACGTGCATCTTTTTGTTAATCGACCAAATATCTGACCTCGATTACGGCCGAATTGCATAATAGCTCCCGAAAATTTCTTAAGTCGAGTCAAGCCGAGCCACGCGATAGTCGCGAACCGCGCGCAGAAACCGCATACAGAGAAAAGAGAGAGAGAGAGAGAGAGAGAGAGAGAGAGATATGCAACCGGTAGCGGAGGTGGTGGCGATGATGGTGGCGGTGGTAGAGAGACCAGGACTCCGCACTCTCGATCGTGACCTAAGAGCGAGCGAGTGAATGCAGCGGGCAAATGTAAAAGCGAGACCGAGAGATTAACCGATGCGGGGGAGGAGGAGGAAGAAGAAAGACCTCGGTACAACGAGCGGGAGCAAGAGAGACTGAGGCGGCAAAGACGAAGTAGTAGTAGGTGGACGATGAAGGAGGTGATGGTGGTGAAGCAGAAGGACGAGGAGGTGGCGATGTTGGTGGTGGTAGGAGAACCAGCCTCCGCCAGTCTATCCACGTGTTCAGTGTAGTAGCGCGTTATGACCCGGATGTTAGATCGTAGCCGCAGTTTCGCGAGTACCTGCCGACCCGGATGTCCTCCCGTTCGCTGTCCACCGGTGATAGACTACTGATGTCTTCCTGGCCACCGAAATATGTTCAATCGGTAAGTTACAGCCGCAGGACCAGCATCCTTCTCCTCGTTGCCGTCCTGGTTAAAATTGTCACCCGGTACTTTGGCGAGGACCACCCGCTTCGAATATACAATGCGTCGCGTTAAAGATCACCCCGAAGAGTCCTCCGCGTTGTCTTTTGACTGACAAAAACTAGTACGATTAGGAAAGAGAGATTTGATTGAAATGGAGAACCCCTCGATCGTTGCTGATCCTCCTCGCGATTCGGGGGTGAGTTTACTCTTTCACGATCGTCTAAATACATAACGGGTATCTCGAAGGATACGTAGTTAAAGTACGAGATGTCGTAATACTGAATGTGGATTTAGTGGGTGCTACCAGCGATTTTTCGCGCGCGAAAATCAGATGCGTCGTATGGCGCGTCACGCACGTGTCGTACACGCGTGCAGCAGCAAATGACAGTAACGTCAGTGTGTGCTTGAAGGATAGATGCGAGCAAGTCTACGAAAGGCGCCAGCAAATTACGAAGGGACCTGATAAACGCCGAAATTGCGAATCTACGTGACTTGCTGCCGTTGCCGCCCTCGACACGCCAGAGGCTTTCCCAGCTGCAGCTTATGGCCTTGGTCTGCGTGTTCCTGCGAAAAGCCAATTACTTTCAGCAAGGTACGTGAATGGCAAACTTGCATGCGACTTTAAATCTTGAAGCATTGTGTGTGTGTATATATATATTTCAACGTTAAGAGAAAATTTCCCCTGCGAGCTAGAAATCTTCATGAAAAAGTAGTTGTTCAAAAATTCAATTTGGGATGTCAAAAATGAAATACGGTGTTTACGCTGCCGAGAGTTTCCAAAGTTCTGAGCTATAAATACGAAAACTTTGCAGCGGTTTGAAATATTAGCTTCAGTTGTTGAATATTATGCATAATTTTCTCATACATGATGCATAAAAAGTAAGATAAATCATTAATAATAAAATAACTACAAGAGATAGTTTATTAAATATTAGTACTAGGCGTAATAAAAAAATTTGATGAAACATTTCCGTACGATAGTTTTTAAAGAACGATTAAGTCTCTCGAAAATTTGACTCGAATTGTTCGCGCATATGATAATGTCGAGGAAACTGTCCAACGCGTGATATGATACACGCATAAGTTGCGTTCCGCCGAGTTATAACTTGTTGCTCCATAAAATAAGGAATGACGATAGGCGATAAAGCGAGTCCATCGCGGTATCGCGATTACTATATCTTTACTGTAATTCATATCCATCGGCCGAGACTTCAATGCCGGCAAGCGCGCGCTCGTGCCATGCAATTCATCGCGTCTGTACTCTGATATTTCACAGAGAGCGCATTCGTACTATACTATACGTAATGATTGGGACACATTGTACAGACCGTAACGAAATACGTCGAATAGACAAATTAGCATAATTCGATATTGTAGCACATAGGAATATTAATATAATTTTCTACAATAATTAAAAATACTTGGCAAGTATTTCTTGTGGCAAGTCAGCACTGAAATACAACAAGCCAAATAATAAACGCAATGAACTTTGTAATCATTATTAATAACAATATCTACTTTTTCTATTATATTGATAAAAAACTAAAATTAAAGTTATTAAAATTATATCAATTGTAAGTAAAAATCTTGTTTGAGTTTTGTCTTAATGCAATGTGAGAGAGAGAGAGAGAGAGAGATAGGGAGGAAAGGAGGCAGATAAAACATACTGTTGGCACACGATTGCAAAAGAAAGCATCGTTGTTGCTAAATATATCACAGAAGTTTCAAGATAATACCTACGATACAAATTCGTTCATAAGAAACGGTTACAATTTTTTATCAGCACGCTTTTAATGCTTTATTTGCATGTTTATTCCGATTATTCCGTCTATTCTAAGGAAAGCATCGCTTTGTGGTAATAATAAAATCTGTAAAAAGGCAGAGATTGCAAAATGTGTTGCCCCATCTATTCTATAAATTAAATTCGCCCGATATAAAGAACATTCGATAATATCGAGAATTTCTCGTATGCCATCATTAATTAAACGCTCTGATCCAAATTTGGAGAATCCAAATCTTCTCCGCGGTTTTCGAGATCTCCTCGAGATTTCTGCTCGCTTCATCGTCGTAATCGGCCACTGATCCGCGTTCAAACAATCCGCGCGAAGGAGAATTTCTATTCGGTCGCGCGGGAGTCTGTCGGGTAACCCGGCTGTGAGGGCTTCTCGTAGACACAGAGAGAAAGAGAAAGACGGCGGGGAAAACGCGGTAAACCCGGTGGGTACCAATAACGAGAGAGGAGATCCGCAAGAGAGAGGAGAGGAGAGAAGAGAAGAGGCGAGGCGAGCTGAGCCGAGCGCAAAGCAAAGCGAGGCGAAGCGATGTAAGAAGGCAAGATCGGCCGGCGCGCGTTCAAACTCAGCGGAGTCTAAGCGCGAGTTCCGGGTGATCCGCTGACCTGTCGGCCTTTGCAACAACACTCTCACGCTCCTGTAACCCACACTCCTCCCCCTCCTCTCTCTTTGTCTCTTTCTCTTTCTACAGTTTCTTCTCTTCGCCGCCCGCCTTGGTCTCCCTTCCTCTCTCTCGCCCGTTCTTCTTCTCCGCTCTCCTCTCCGCCATCCCCGTCTCCCTATCCTCCCCCTTTCTAGCTATCTCTCTTTCTCTCTCTTTCTCTTATTCTTTCTCTCTCTCACGCTCATTGTCTCGCAGTGTATATCGGATACTATAGTCTCATGTAGCGCCGTTAGAGAGTAAACGCTGCCGTGCTGCATTAGCATACGCATTTTTCCTTACCCTTCTCCCTCTTCCTTTCGTTCGCGGGTACATACCTCTTTCCCCTTTACTTTTTCGAGAAACCCCCGAGCGAGAAGGGTGGCGAACGCGCGAAAAAGCACGAGATTGAAATGGGTATTTTTTTTCCTTCTCTCTCTTCTCTCGCGATCCTCTCCGTTGGGAGACCATTGCAAGCGATTAAGGCTCGAGACACAATGAAGCGTAAGAACAGCATGTGAGGAATCAATACTCTGGTATCTCGGTCACATCTGCAAAATATGAATTATATTTCTAGGATATCGATCGGGAGCGAATGCGGCTGAAAACAACTTTTTTATAGTCGCGATAGACAGTCGGGCGTTATCGAATGCGTTTGCACGTTTTCACATTGCGTAAAATAAAAATAAAAGTAACGATTCGCGCCTATCAACACTTTTGCCGGCAGTAAACCCACATTATGATTATGCATCGATAACGATTTATCTTTTCCTTCAGCGGGTAATACATTACGTTGTTGCTTTTTTTCAAACAATTTTTGTACCAACAACGAACTATACGATTATAATTTATTTATAATAAATTATAATTTACTTTTTTTACACGTCACACGTTTAATTTTTCAGCTTTGATCTTTTTATTTTTCAGCGCTGAAAAACTACCCGTCCGAGTCCTCCAATATTCCAACACCCAACATAGGGTTCTCAAAAGTAATTTTGTTTTCAGTTCACTTATACTAATCATTTCTAATTACTTTTTTTCTTTTTTTGACATCATTATATCTTTACATTAGTTTGATATTTATTACAAACCTTTCGAGATCCATCCGTGGAATCACAATCCGTGCATCTTTTTCAGGCAATGTCCGGTTTTATCATGATGATGACGCAGCAGGGAAAATTGTTGTATATATCAGAAAATGCAGCGGATTATCTCGGGCATTCTATGGTAAAATAATTTCGTTAATAATAATGCAATGTGAAATAATTACGCAATAATAATGTAACCGGATAATGGCGCGTAAAGGCGACGTTCTCGAAAAGCGAACGTTATTTGCTGCGTTTAAAACACGAATCGCGATAAGATAAAAGATTTTCAGGAGGACTTACTCATCCACGGGGACAGCGTGTACGATGTAATCGACAAGCAAGATCATTTAATTGTACAAAATCAATTATCCAGAAACAGTCCGATTCCGAGTGACAGGAGGCTGTTTCTCTGTCGAATCAACGTATCGAGAAATTCTCGCAGGCAGCTACGATTCGGCGATCAAAAGGTAATGAAAGTAACCGCCGATTATTCTGACATTATTCATTTTTTGCAAATACCGCATTATTCGCTTCTCACCACAGGTAGTCCTTGTAGAGGGTCACTTCCTGCCATTCGTGCCTGTTTGCAACCGCAACGAATTCGTCTTCCTGGCTTCCTGCACTCCGGTAGTCTTACCGGAGACACGAGAGAGCATCGTCCAAGGCGCGACCAATATCTTTACCACGATTCACTCGATGGACATGAAGTACCTGCATATCGATAAAACGTAACATTTAATATCGGCATTAATATGAGAAAATTAGATTGTTTGCAAAGGTCCGGTTTTTTCCTGAAAATCTTCTGTTTCTTCTTTGCAGCGCGGAAAGCCATCTGGAGTATACTCGTGCTGAATTGCTCAACGTATCCTGGTACAATCTGCTTCATTGGGACTCCATAAGAACCGCTTACTGTAAACATCAAACCGGTATGTATGTTAAAAACAATTCCTTTGACAATAGAAAAAGAATAAAAATTTTTCCGCGTAAGAAATTACACAACAATACTTAAAAGAGCATATTTTATTATTTTTCTTAAAAACTAAATTTTTTTTTATTCATAATTCACAATTTTAGTTATTCAGTCTGATCAAGAGCGATCTACTACCGCTCTGCTGAAGCTGCAGAGTCGTTCTGGGAGGTGGTTCTGGGTACATTGCGTGCTGCAGGTCAAGGATACTTCCGATGAGTGCCAACATCCTATTATCGTTTGCACGAATCAAGTGCTCACGTATGTTTATGGTTGTTTATGTATAATTATCCTTTTCAATATCTCTATTCACTAAACTACTAAATTTAATATTAAATTAATTAATTAATTAATAATTTAATTTGCGTAATATATTATTTCAATTATATCATACACATACACATATAAACATACATGCATAAATAATTACAGCGACAAGGAGGCGGAAGTAATGCGCTCCAGTTCGTGGCTGTACCAATATTCCTCTCAGACGAAATTCACCTACGGACTCTGTCCCGGCGGCCAAGGTCGCAGCATTGCGTATCCTTCCGCGGGACAGACTGTCAATCAAACTCAAGAATACCATCGGGCGTATTCCAACGATACTGATGTCCAGCATTCACCATCCCTTAATCCGGACCGGTCCGAAACGGAATCGCACATGGCCTCGAAGAGCGCACAGCCGATGGATTATCCCGGCAGGCGACTGTTGCGAGATGACACTGAGCCGGTGGATATGTCGATAAGCAGTGCGGAGCAACACGAAGGTAGAAGCATGCAGGCTGCGGTCGCCGATCATCATCATCAGCAGCAGCACACTCTAGACGATCCGGTCAGATACCACCATAAACAGTACCATAAGAGCTCGCTGCATCTGGCTGGCTATCGGGCAAAGTTTGTACAGTGCCACGGCGGACAATACGTCGGCGGCGGCTGCGCGGATGTGCTGTCGATGCCCGGCACCAAGTATTATCTTACCGACCTCGACCGGGACTACTGTTGCGGTCCGGAACGCAGCGGCAGCCTGCACAGCAAGCGTCCGCCGACGAAAGCGCTAATTGCGCCACCGACGCCGTCACTGACGGCCGAATCGGCGGTGCCGCCGCCGCCGGACACTGTCTCTCTGGAGAACTGGGGTGCCAGTCCGGCCTGGTCGGACGCGTTGCAGAGGGTGCCGGACATGGTGCATCAGGAACTCAGCCCATATATCACCACGCCGACTACACCGGTCAACACGCCCGATTCCGATACCCTCGGCCACTCGGAGGCGCCTATTTTTAATTTTGACTGGGCCGGCACCGAGCAACACGTACCCAACTTGAAAATCACCTTCCACCGCGGCAGCGTCGCGACCACTACCGCCAACCATCCCATCATCCAGCCTAAAAAGCCGCATCAGGACACGGTACAACCCATTACGCTACAGTTACCACGTAGGAAGGGACAATCCGCGGAGAACGACAGCAAGGACTTCTCGAAATGAGCAAAGGGTAGAGGGATGTAGTGTAAAAGCTTAAAGAATGTCGAAGATACCGATTAGTTTCTTAATAAAACAAAAATTCATATAAAAATCTAGAAAAGAAATTAGAGAAGAAAATAAAATATAGGAGTCATCTAAAAGGGTCCAAGTCGAGAGAATCGAATGCGAACACAAAAAAGGTGTTCGGACACAGCGCCATACTCTCTCTCTTTTTAACACATAGCTTTTGTCACAGACAACGGAGTATATTCTTCCAAATTCTCTATCGGTATCGCATTACACAATTTTCTACACGCTCGCGTTCGTCTTTTGTATCTTTTCTTTTTTTTTAAATCTTCTTCATCACTGTCTCTTTGACGTCTTATACATTTTACTCTCGAATCGTAAATTCTTCATTAATATAAAACACGTATATAAACATAGACTGATTACATCGGTGTTTACAATAATCTACGATTAAAAAAAGGTCGTACATCGTTTCGTTTATCTCCGGTATACGCTTTTATGCGAGAACATTCGTTTTGAGATAAATAGCACGCATCGTACGCGTATATATATATATATTCCAAGTGTATATATATTTATATATATATAACTATATGTATGAGTGTGCAGTGTCGTAAGAGGATACCCAGGTACATGCGCTATATATGTGTTTGAGATTTCTTTTGAAAAATACCTAAATCTCTTACATCTTGACACACGATCGTGAAATATATTCGCTTTGTACATTTTAACGCATTTTCGTCGAAGGAAAGATTTTTTTTTCTTTTTCTTACACACAACGTGTATGTTGCGTGTTATTACGTCTCGACGTGATATTACAGAAATACGTAAATAAAGAAGAGAGGCAGTTAATCATCGTAGCATAGTGCACACGTAGCAGTTTCCACCAGTTCTCGTTTCTCTGTTGTATTTTATTAAACTATTATCGACATTTCAATCGAAGGTCCAGCACGGAGCCCAGAAATCCATCGTGTATAAATACGCGTGCAATTTGTTAACTTAATCGCGACTAATGCGCTTCTTGATACACGCGTGTTTATGGATATAATAAATATCGAAATTAATATTGTGCGAAGTGTATCTCCAATGCAAAGCTGAACTTTAAAGATATGCTCCGCTATGGAAATAAATAATTAAAAAACTTACACGCAAGAGCATAGATCGGGGTGTGAACGTTTTTTTACACACTTGAGGATAACTTTTCTTTCGATCTTCTCATTGCGTGAAGACAGACTGTAGAATGTATCCTTAAACTGTTACGTTATTTCTGACATTCCTCGAGGAACGTGAATTCTTATGTAACACAAGAGAGATAACACACATCTTATACTCTCTCATATATTCCTTATTTAACATTGTAAGTTTTTGCCATGCTAAAATTGCCATATTAATAATCTTACACTTTAGCATTTACTTTCCGAGGAATATGTAATAAATATTCTAATGTAATTTGTACCGCGCGAAAGGAAAATGAATCCTATTTTTTAGATAAGATTCTCAACCGTTTGATTACATTACTCCTCAAAAATAATCAATCCCTTTGATATAATCCCGGACTCCTATATAAATTCCGATTTTTTATTCGAACTGCATTAAAATGTCGAGGTATAAATGTCTCGAATTCTATAAAGAATATCAGTTACACAACCCCTTACCACGATGATTTTCCTCGACGCGATCTCAGTACACATTTCAGTATTCTCACAAATTCGCGATAGATATGCGCTATAAGCCTAACAAAAAAATCTGCAATCTATTTCGATAATCGCTTCCGCGCGCTCACGAAAAAACACGAATGCAACGAAAACGTCTTCTCACGTGTACAATGCGTTTATCGTTTGCGTTTTAGATTCGCGGGAGGTAATTCGCATCACACGATCGAGATCGAATCGCGCGCGCGGAATCAACTATAAAGGTAAAAAAATATCACCGCGAATCCTATTCGCGTTACTCCTTTTTCCCCGTATGCTCGGCGACGCGCTCAAAAATGCCGGGAAACGCGAGAAATTATACAGATACACGTCTTCCTAAAATGTTTCCACGTGTGAAACACATCTTCCCGCGTACCGTTACCCTTTCGCTATAAAGATACATATATATATTAACGAACGTGATAATTGCTTGTATAACACATCTCGATTATATATTATCAAACATCTCTTTCTTTAACTTTTCTTTGACATCTATGAGAGGAAGAATGCTTTTAAATTCGTTATCATTTATCATTATATAAAAGAGACACATTGGCGTCGTTTGTTTGTCGCACATATTGAAAGAAACAGAAGTCGTGTATAATTTATCGGTGCAATCGCTCGCGTAACGGCCTTTAAATCGATCAGTGCAAATCCTCGTATCAAAAGTACTCGAATAATGAATCGAAATTATACGTCGATTAATTGTACTCGATTAATTACGTAACTGACGACACGCAATTGTATCATTACGTCCACCTGATGTACCTAGGTTCGTTCGTGATTAACGTTACTTGATGTAAATGACGTCATCGAGTTCCTTTCTCGCTGAGATACGCATATACCGGGTGAAGTGTATCGAAAATCTCTCGGATTATTATACGCAGAATGATAAGTGACCGAGAGAAGACGCGTAAAGATTTTCGATGACGCGCCCGTAAATGCGTATCCCCCTCACGAGTACTTTTCGCGACACTGCACCGTGTGTATATGTGTAATGTTGATCGCGCGCGAAAGTGCGTGTTTAGTGTGCGTGGGTATTTTGTACAAAGGTACAAACGCACGCGCGCGCGTGCCGACGCGTACATAGGAACGTCGCTTGAGCAGGAGCGATTATGTTTCTCGCTTTGAGTAGTGAAGGATACGCAAAGTTTTCAGAGAGACGAGAAAATATTTCCAGGTTCATTTCACGCGGGATATTTCCGAGATATTTTCAGAAAATGGCGATAAATTTTACATAGACTAAATTATGATTAGTTTCAACATTCATTGGAAACATGATTCGTGAAAAAGAAATTGCGCGAAATAACGAGAATACATATGTATTTTAAAAAAAAAATTGTGTATTCTTTTATTGTAATATATATTCAATATTCAATTAGAATGATTGCGAAATTGATTGAAATGAGGAGCTCGCAGTCTTGATGGTCATTATATAGGCATGTCGGCGCGCGTACGATTGACTTTGATTACTTTACGAGCCTTCGATCGCTAAAGTCGTGTATCGCTCGTCGACACAGTGCTCTTATTTTATTTGTTTTATTTAATTTCATTTTTTTTATATATTAACTATACTTCTTCGGTATCGTTTCTCAAGTAGCCTCGAAAGTGCGCTCTACAACATTCCTCCCTTTCCGCCTCCATCTCTCCGTCAATCTTTCTATTTCTCACCGTATAATCTTGGTATAATCTTTTAAAGCTTCGTTTGGCACGTATAATTAGAATGTTATTTTTAGTTTTACGGAAGAATTCGATTTAGCGTTAATCTCTCTCTCGTTTCACCTAATCGCTAATTATCCTCCCGTATCCTTCGCTGGCCGTGCCAGCCGTCGTCTATATCACCCCCATCGTTCCCTCCCCGCATTATTACATTTAAACACATTCATTTACAGTTTTACACTTCGCTACGTCGTAAAATTTACATCGAGTGTTTACATCGCCTGTCGCGGCTCCGCGCGACATACAGAGATATATCATCTCGTTATTCTTCCGATATTTTTTTACTTAAATAGGTTCTTGTGCGACTTAGCTTTTTTTTTTTCTTCATGTCTAAACCCCCGTTGCTATTCGCCATCGTCTTCCCTTTTCCTTTTTCTGGAAGGGAATTCTCTCGGGAGCAGCGCGATGCTTCCGGACGACGGTGGCGAACCGTGCCGGGAGACACCGGTACGCCCGGATATACCGAGTATACCGGACACATAATGTAATTCCGAATGCGCGACTCGCATAGGATTCGCGCAATTCGGAGAGATATTAATGAACGTTATATTCATGGCAGTATCCACGTCGCGTTACTTCTTGCGAAACTCGGAGACCGGAGCTGCGTGTATTTTAACTAGTGCGTTGACGGCCGGCTCGCGCTTCCTCTCGCGACGCAAACAGATCCCCCTTTTTCTTTCCGCAATCTCGCCATTTTTTTTCCAATTTTTCTCAATCTTCCGATAGAGAACCGATATTAGTATCAGATGATGTTATTGCATTTACGGGGAGAAAACCCGAATCGAAGGCTTCCGACAGAACCGCTCAAAGTTTTGAACAAAATCAAGGTGAGAACCTTTGGTTTCTCGGAGAAGTCTGCGACCCAAAAAAAGATTAAGAACCACTGCAGTATTATTAACAATTCACGCGACCCGTTATAGGCGATCGATATCGGTACCGTCGAAATTCGATATTATCCGCGAAAATATCGTGAACAAACAAACCGTTCTTACATGAGTAGAACAAGAAGGACCCGCTCACGTCGACCGGTGTGTCATATCGTTAACCCCCCGACAAGGAAACATTAGTTCGTTATCCTTTAAATATTTTAATGAACATCAATGTAATTGTACAGTAACGCAATTATATTTGAGAGAGAAAGAGTATTAAAACTTCGAGATGTTACACATCGAGGGATAACCGGATTATTAACGTAATTATCGATGATTAATAAATTTCCATTGTGAAAAATAGCGCCAGATCAGCGCGAAAATGATAGAAATGCGGTCATCAAGGGGTTAATCTCTCTCGTTATAGTGATTCAATATCACACGGGAGAAAAATAACACATCTGAGGAAAATTCGGAGTCAGTTTTTCTACGTGGTAAAAGTGCACGAGTGACCGATCGGACATTGTCGTCGCGCGCGATCCGGCGATCAAGACTCAAAAGATGCGCGGCCCGAACATACTCGAACAACGTCGATAGGAACAGGGTGATTTGGCAGTCGCGAGCGCCAAATTCATTCGCGGCAGTTCGCCGGTCTCCTCGCTTCCGTTTCTTCATGCGCTCTGAGAAACGCGCAAAAAGGAGGAAAAGTAAACGGCAATATAATAATAATAATGCAGCATTGCGTATGTATGTATATGAGTGTATGTATGTGTGCACGTGTATGTATATGTGCGCGAACGCGCGGTCGTCGACTTCCAATTCTGCGGGATATGGAAGCGCGCGGAGGGGATTGGACCGATGCGAAAAGATTGAAGTACGCATCGGTTACTGATATCATCCTCGGTCGACCGCGGTGCCGCGATTCCTG